CCCGAATTTCTGAATTTCTGAATTTCTGAATTTAGGAATTTAGGACATTCTGAATTTCTGAATTTCTGAATTTTTGAATTTCTGAATTTCCGAATTTCTGAATTTCTGAATTTCTGAATTTCTGAATTTCTGAATTTCTGAATTTCTGAATTTCTGAATTTCTGAATTTCTGAATTTCTGAGTTTCTGAATTTCTGAATTTCTGAATTTCTGAATTTAGGAATTTAGGACATTCTGAATTTCTGAATTTCTGAATTTCTGAATTTCCGAATTTCTGAATTTCTGAATTTCTGAATTTTTGAATTTCTGAATTTCTGAATTTCCGAATTTCTGAATTTCTGAATTTTTGAATTTCTGAATTTTTGAATTTCTGAATTTCTGAATTTAGGAATTTAGGACATTCTGAATTTCTGAATTTCTGAATTTTTGAATTTCTGAATTTCCGAATTTCTGAATTTCTGAATTTCTGAATTTCTGAATTTCTGAATTTCTGAATTTCTGAATTTCTGAGTTTCTGAATTTCTGAATTTCTGAATTTCTGAATTTAGGAATTTAGGACATTCTGAATTTCTGAATTTCTGAATTTTTGAATTTCTGAATTTCTGAATTTCTGAATTTCCGAATTTCTGAATTTCTGAATTTCTGAATTTTTGAATTTCTGAATTTCTGAATTTCCGAATTTCTGAATTTCTGAATTTTTGAATTTCTGAATTTTTGAATTTCTGAATTTCTGAATTTCTGAATTTCTGAATTTAGGAATTTAGGACATTCTGAATTTCTGAATTTCTGAATTTTTGAATTTCTGAATTTCCGAATTTCTGAATTTCTGAATTTCTGAATTTCTGAATTTCTGAATTTCTGAATTTCTGAATTTCTGAGTTTCTGAATTTCTGAACTTCTGTTTTTTTAGGTTTCTCAATATGGAAATGCCAATTGCAATCAAAATCGAACATTCGACGAAAATGAAGGATTTTTGGGAAAACTCAAAATTGTGTCTGAATTGATCAATAAAGTTATTTGAATGCTCAAAAATTGATTTTTTAATTTTGTGTAAAAAAAAAATTCATGAAAACATTCATTTGTACAATACAACAGTTATACAGCCCGCTTTTTTCTTCCAAATACACTACTAACAAGAGACAAGACTCCAGTTTTTGTTGGCGGACCTTTAAACGTCATTGTTGGGTCACATCCTCCTTTTCCAAATGCCGGAACCTGAATTTTCACGAAACTGGTTGAGATTTGAAACTTAAAAATGCTGTATTCAGCTTCGTGAAGTCACTAGCTTCAAAATGATACCCATCATGACCATGTTTGGTGATAGTAATGTATAAATGATTTTTGTGCATTCGAATGCTCAAAATTGCTCAAAAACCATTTTCCACCAAAACATAGCAGTATGGATGTTATTTTGAAGCTCTCAGTCTGCAAATTTTGTTTCGAATGTTCAAAATGACCACATTTTCATGAAAAGGTGGAAAAATCATTTTTGTGCATTCGAATTCTTAAAATTGCTTAAAAATCATTTTCATCAAACTATGACAATATGGGTATCATTTTGAAGCTTATGAAATTTTCGATTCATTTTTTATGTTAGAAACAACTACGTGTTTGTGAAAATGACCTAAAAATGATTTTTGTGCATTCGAATGCTCAAAAATGCTCAAAAATCATTTTCCACCAAAACATGGCAATATGGGTATCATTTTGAAGCTCTTTACCTCCAGACAACATTTTTTGTAGTTCTAACGTCTGAGAACGATATTTAAGCCTACCTCAACTCCAAAATAGTTGCGATGGTCCCATACACCCATTGTGGTGTCATCCAGGTCCACTTTTGGAGCATTTGAGCAACTAAAATCTTCATCTCGAGGCAAGCCAGTGCAAATCATGTAAGGACTTCCTTGTGTCATATTTCCAGGATACCAAATTTCCAAACCATGATGATAGCCTCCATTTGTGCTCACTGGGTCACATGGCATGGACCCATCGGAGCCCGCTGGTGGGGTGTAGGAAAGGTCTTTGACACAGGCTGGTAGATGAGGAACTATATCAATGGCATGGGTCACACGGAAACTAAAAAAAATTGTTTGGGGAGAAATGAGCGAAAAAATACAAAGCATGGGTGAGAATGAATACATTTAGGTGTATTTGAGCAGTAAATTGAGCATAACTTTTTGTATTGCGTCAAATTCAAAAATTCAAAAATATCGTTTTTGAATCGTCAAGCCGGTTCGAATGAGTATAATCATGACCTACTTTCAAAAAAAAAAGATTTTTAAGCATTTTCCGGCTATTTGATCATAACTTTGTTCATTTTTATTTTCACGTTTTGAGACTTGCATCAATCGACTAAAAATCGAAAAACGGTTTGAATGAGTATAATCATGACCTAAATTCAAAAAACGAAAATTTTCATGAAAATGTTCAAAAATCATTTTCATGAAAATATGGCATTATGGGTATCAAAATGACTCCCTTTACATTCTAAACTCGAAAATCGTACCTATACGGTATCAACTGATCATATGTCCGAGAAAAGTCCAAATTTCCAACCCTGGGCTCTCCAAAAGTGATCACTTTGACTTGATGGCTCTGCCGGAGGCCTAAAATTTTTTGAAAAATAGTTTTTTTCTCAAACTTTCAGCATTTTACCATCATGCACAATTCTGGGTGCTGCAAGTCCTGCTAATGCACCACCTAACGAGTGTCCTGTCACATAGACATCGTAATTCTGGTACTGTGGATTGCTCAGCGCTTCTTGGACATATTGCCACGTTTTTTCATGGCCAGATCGGAAATATGTGTTCACTAAGCCCATTCCATAGAAATCTGCACTTGGTTTTAGGGTTGTCCAGCCTTCTAGGAGGAGTTGACTCTGAAAATTTGGGCATTTTTTGAGCAATTTGAAGGTTAGCATGATTGGAAAAGAATGATTGTGGTGCACTTTGGAGCATTTTTGGAGCATTTCAGAGCTCATTATTAGTCAAAAATGATCTAGATTCATTTTCATGCAATTTTTAGAAGCTGAAAAATCTGAAAATGCATCAAAATTGTTCTAGTGCAATTTTCGAGCATTCTAGAGCATTCTGAATATTAAACTGATAAAAAAATTCATGATAATGATTTTGGTGCATTCTCTTGAGTATGAAAGATCTCAGAGAAAATGCTTCAAAATAAGTATCATGATGACTACTTCTACTGGAAATGCACAAAAATGCTCATTGTGCATCCTGAGTCATTCTGGAGCATTTTCGAGCTACAGTAACCAAGTTCGGCGTAATGAGAGCTTCAAAATGAGTATAATCATGCCCTTGGTCAGAAAATGATCATTTTGCATTTTGGTGCATTTATGAGCATTTTTGGAGCATTTAGAATGACAAAAAATCATGAAAATGATTAACTTGCATTTGTTTTTGTGCCTCTGAAAACTACAGTAATCTGTTGAAGAGCATCCGAAACGACAATATAGCCAGCACATGGATTTCCAATGAAATCACATCTGACTGAAAATGTGGTGAGCAATGTTTGAGTTTCAGACGGGGAGAACGTTCTGGAAAAATGTTTTGGGCATTTTTTGAACATTTTGAAAGTTCGAAATTTAAAAATCACAAAAATCTGAAATTTAGAATTTTTCAAAAATTGCATTTAAATGAAAAATGAACTAAAAATCTTGAAAAATGGTTCAAAAATCATGAAAAATGTGCATTTTTATCTGTTAAGAACATTTTTTAGGCGGATTTTCTAGCAATATCCCAAAAAGCTCAAAAATTATTTAAAAATTCAAATTTCGCGCCATTTCTTACAAATTCTCTTACCTCTGAAGACATGGTGTAGCATCGGTTGAATAGGCGGCTGCCGCCAAATTCAAAAGCATTCTAGCCTCCGTTTCATTATATTGAGCATCATCCGGACCAAAAATTCCATGAACCCCAGCCACAAAAAATGTCGAAAAAATCAGAAATTTCAGCATTTTCTTTGGCTTAAAAGTGCTCAAAATTGAGCCAAAATGCTCCCAAAGCGCTGAGCAATGGCAAAAGGAGTAAATGAGCAAACTCAACGGGAGTACATTACGGAGGTTGAGCAATTAGGAGGTATACAAATAGAGCAAAAGAGCAAACATTTTAAAAAAGACGAAAAAAAAGTTATAGACTACACCAACACTGGTTTTTCTGTTAATTTGGTGTCAATAATGACTATGAAATGTGGTTTATAGTCTTTGAAAAAATAAATATGATGATATTTTGTAGATTTCGAAATTTTTGAATTTTTGTTTGATACCCATTCTGTGCTACTTTGGTAGTTTTACATGTTCAAAAAGCACCAAAATGCACCAAAATGCACAAAAATGCACAATGATCATTTTTGTGACACAGGGCATGATTATACTCATTTTGAAGCTCTCATCATCCCAAACTTGGTTACTGTAGATCGAAAATGCTCTAGAATAACATAGAATGCACAATGAACATTTTTGTGCATTTTCAACTAAAAATAGTCATGATTAGACTCATTGTAAAGCATTTTTCCTCGGAATTTTAGCATTTTAACTTTCTAAATAGTAACTTTGATTCACTGAAAATGTCAAAAAAAATCATTCAAATGCAAAATGATCATTCAAACAAATTGATGAGTACTACAAGCCACTGAATAAACCACATCATCCCTGGATTTGATCATTTTCTTGGTAAATTGAGTTTGAAATTCGGTTTGGATACGGTAGGCCTTTTTGGGAAAGAATTTGGAGAGCATGCTGCAAAGTCATGAAAATGAAAAATGATCATTTTGTGATTTTTATGAAAATGTTTGACTAAAAACATTATAAACAACGTTTGAATGGCTCATTTGATTTCGAGTGTCAAAATGCATCAGAATGCACCAAAATGCACCAAAATGCACCAAAAATGCAAAATGATCATTTTTGTGACACAGGGCATGGTTACTAATTTTGAAGCTCTCATCACCCCAAACGTGGTTACTGTAGGTCAAAAATGTTCTAGAACAACACAGAATGCACAATGAGCATTTTTGTGCGTTTTCATCCAAATCTAGAATCATTTTTTCCCTAATTATTACCTTTCCATATTCTTATTAACAGATGGATACCAGAAAATTAGTTTTTCGTATTTCTCAAAATTTGGAATTATTCTGGAGACATCTGCCAGAAGACGTGCTGCAACTTCTGGATTTTCAGCGTAAAATGGTGCAGCACAGAGACGATTTAGGTTGACAACACGAATGGTACAGTAACCCACTATTTTGTGGGCGGAGTCAAATGCCACCTGAATGAAAATGAATCAAAAATCATTTTGCTGAAACCAAAGTTTCAAATAATTTTTTCGATTTCTGGGGCAAATTGTGATGTCATAATTGTCTAATTGGTCCGAATCGACATTTTCCCAGGTCTGAAAATTTAAATTGAGCATTCCAGAGCATTCCAGGCATGATTAAGCTCATTTTGAAGCGTTTTTTGCCCCAAAATGATCAAAAATTACCTCAGTTGTATAGGAATCCGAAAGTTCGGGAAATCGCATCTTCCCTGGTTGGATTTCAGTTTCCAAATGCCAATATTCTGGCATTTTTTTAAATTCAAGAATGTCTGCATACTTTTCCAACATGTTGACCGCTGGAAAATGCACAAAAATGCACGAAAATGCACGAAAATGCAAAATGATCATTATTCTGACCTAGGGCATGATTATACTCATTTTGAAGCTCTCAATTTGCTGAATATTATTACTGTAGGTCAAAAATGTTCTAGAATGACACAGAATGCATAATGATCATTCCGGTGAATTTTCAAACAACCCTAGGCATGATTATACTCATTTCAATACATTTTTTTTCGGGAGATTTATAATTTTTAAATCATTCAAATGGGTTTTCAACTATTTTCATTCAAACCTGCCGTCAAAACACAATTAGCTCCGCCCACAATGTCCATAATTGCTTTTTACCGTATCCCTTGCCTCGAAACTCCTCTCTACAGTAATACAAACCAATGGAATAGAGAGGCTCTTCATTTGGAACATCCCAACGAGCCAAACTCCCGCCAGCAATGATATTGTCTTTTGGATCTGGAAAATCGGTGTAAACTGAGCAAAAATGAGCCAAAATGCACAAAATGCAAAAAAATCATTTTTATGAAAATATGGCATGATTATATTCATTTGAACCGTCTTAATGAGAGAAATTGATATGTATCAAAAAAAAATTGAGTTTGAAGCAAAATCCAGAAAGTTATGCTCAAATTACCGTAATCCGTGATTTTTCAACAAAAAAAAAAACAAAAAAAAATTCAAATCTCCATAACTTTATTCATTTTCACTCGATTTTTGTAGTTCTTAGCTCAAAATGCTCCAAATTTTTAACATTTTTCGAATTTTCTTCAAAAACTGATTGAGGGGGATTGATAACAAGTTCCATAGCTGAAAAATGAGTAAAACTATTCGTGTATAAATAGAGAAAAAATGCGCCAAAATAGGTGAAAATGCATAAAATGCAAAGTGATCATTTTCATGAAAACATGGCATGATTATATTCATTTGAACCATTTCTTAATTTCAAACTGATTACTGTAGTTTTAAAGATGTGAAAATCAAAATGAGCAAAGTTATGAGCAAATTACCAAAAAATGATGATTTTCAGGAAAAAAAAATTTTTTTGATGAATGATAATTAAATGTTACTGATAACAAAAATGATGTCAAAGTTCAGAACTAAAGTGTTTTTGAATGTAGAATGATCGAAATTTTTGAAAAAATGGAAAAATGAAAACTTTGCATTTACATGATATAAAAAAAACACTTTGATAGAACGTAAACACTTTGATAGAACGCCACCCGGACTCATTCCCTTTGAGCCTATATATCTAACTTCTTTTGAAAGATATCAGAAAGTTGTCAACTGATAAAATGTTTATCATGATATCAGTAACATTTTATTAGTCAATCACTTTTTGATATCTTTCACAGAAAATGAGATATAAAGGCTCAAAGTTTAACGATTCGGGTAGCGTTCTAATAGAGTGTTTATGGTATTTTCCTCAATTTTCGTGTAATATGCTCATTTTTGGATCCCCTATAAAATGATTGATGAAAAATGATTTTGGAGCTAAAAATGAAAAATTCTTTCGAAACCGAAATTTTTCGAAAAATTACACAATATTTTTGTGTAAAATTTTTCAGGTGTATAAAAGAGCAGCTGCTTTCTGGAGAGGGTCCAGAGTCATTTTTCATGATTTTTGGACCATTTTTCCCGATTTTTGTTCCAGTTTCCAAGGATTTCTTTTTCATTTTTTCGATTTTTTTTTTCGAAAAATCACATTATCAAAGATCGAAGCACACATTTCCACTGCGTCTCTCGTTCCTTATCAGTCTAGTCTACTGATAAGAAAAAGAAGTGTTTCAATGAAAAGAGACAAATGATCTTTGATTTTTTAGAAAAAAAAAACATTTTTTCAGTTTTTTTTTTGAAAATCACTACTTGTTATTTCATGATTTTTGGTAACACTATTTTTGCTCATTTTTGCTCCTTTTTAACGCTTTTTTCAAACATTTTACAGCTATGGAACTGGTCATAAATCCACCACAGCCAGTTTTCGACCAACTGATCAATTTGGCCGGAGCCACTCATGGGTGGGCTCATCAACCATATGACTATAAGTTCTATGAGGATGCATTTGATGGGTATTGGCTCATTTGTATGGTGGATACTACTAAAGGTAATCGTTATTTTGATATTTGAGATAAAACGAAAAATTTGGAGCATTTTGAGCTAAAAGTTACAAGTGAAAATTAACAATGTTACGGGGATCTGAACATTTTTTTTCGAAATTCGGATTTTTCGGTAATTTAAGCATAACTTTTTGAATTTTGCTCCAAATTTGAAATTTCTTGAAGATTCTGATTTTTCTCATCCAGACGGTTCGAATGAATATAATCATGCCATGTTTTCATGAAAATGATTTTTTTGCATTTTGTGCATTTTGGCTCATTTTTGCTCAGTTTACGCCAATTTTCCAGATCCAAAAGATAATTTTGTTGCCGGCGGATGTTTGGCTCGTTGGGATGCTCCAAACGAAGAGCCTCTCTATTCCATTGGTTTGTATTACTGTAGAGAGGAGTTTCGAGGCAAGGGATACGGTAAACCAGTGTTCAAAGCAATGATGGACATTGTGGGCGGAGCCAATTGTGTTTTGACGGCAGGTTTGAATGAAAATAGTTGAAAACCCATTTGAATGATTTAAAAATATGAAATACCGAGAAAAAATGCTTTAAAATCAGTATAATCATAACTAGGCTTGTTTGAAAATGCACCGGAATGATCATTATGCATTCTGTGTCATTCTAAAACATTTTTGACCTACATTAATAATATTCAGCAGATTGAGAGCTTCAAAATGAGTATAATCATGCCCTAGGTCAGAATAATGATCATTTTGCATTTTTGTGCATTTTATGCATTTTCGTGCATTTTCTAGCCGTCGACATGTCGGAAAAGTATGCAGATATTTTTGGATTCAAGGAAATGCCAGAATATTGGCATTTGGAGGCTGAAATTCAACCAGGGAAGATGCGAATTCCCGAACTTTCGGATTCCTATACAACTGAGGTAATTTTTATTCATTTTGGGCAAGTATGAGCTCCAGAATGCTCAATGTGCATTTTCAGAACTGCAAAAATGTCGATCCGGACCAATTAACCAATTATGACCTCACAATTTGCTCCAGAAATCGAAAAAAGAAAATGGAACTATGGTTTCAACAAAATGAAGTTTTCACAAAGGTAAAATGCTCAGAATGATCATTTTTGATTCATTTTCATTCAGGTGGCATTTGACTCCGCCCACAAAATAGTGGGTTACTGTACCATTCGTGTTGTCAACCTAAATCGTCTCTGTGCTGCACCATTTTACGCTGAAAATCCAGAAGTTGCAGCACGTCTTCTGGCAGATGTCTCCAGAATAATTCCAAATTTTGAGAAATACGAAAAACTAATTTTCTGGTATCCATCTGTTAATAAGAATATGGAAAGGTAATAATTAGGGAAAAAATGATTCTAGATTTGGATGAAAACGCACAAAAATGCTCATTGTGCATTCTGTGTTGTTCTAGAACATTTTTGACCTACAGTAACCAAGTTCGGGGTAATGAGAGCTTCAAAATGAGTATAATCATGCCCTTGGTCAGAAAATGATCATTTCGCATTTTTGGAGCATTTTTGGTGCATTTTTGGTGCATTTTTGGTGCATTTTTGTGCATTTCTAGTGCATTTTCAGACTTCAAACCTCTTTTTTACTATCAAAACTATGTCAAAACTGATTTTCCTGCAAAACTTTCATAAAATTCAAAAAATGCTAATTTTTCATTTTCATGTATTTTCAGCATGCTCTCCAAATTCTTCCCAAAAGACGCCTATCATATCAAAATCGATTTCCGGACTCAATTCACCAAGAAAATGATCAAATCCAGGGATGATGTCGTCTATTCGGTGGCTTGTAGTACTCATCAATTTGTTTGAATGATCATTTTGCATTTGAATGAATCTACTCATTATGGGGTTCATTTTGAAGCTCTAGCAACGGAAAATTAAAATTTTAAATTTATTTTGTACAAATTGCCACAACAAAAAGTAAAAAAAAACAAAAAATTAAATTTTCAAGAAATTAAAATTTTCTGAAAAACTGACATCACCAAAACAATATTAGTTATCACAAAATAGGCTCTCTCAATATTTTTTCTGTTCACAGAAAAAATTTGGATCACCAGATTCACTGATCGATTTTTTTGGGCGCGATCCACCATGATACGGTAGGTACTGTAGATTTTTGGGTCTTGGGAATGGTGGAGAAATGGGTCATTCATGAGTACTGTAGATGTGTGGAGCATCTGAAAATAAAATTTTCGAATTCGGGGGGTCGAGAGCTTTCGAACGAGTATAATCTTGGCTGGGTTTGAGAAAAAATCATGAAAATGACAAAAAATCATGACAATGCTGAAAATGCATTTTCATTAAACCATGACTTGCTTATACTCATTTTGACCGTTTTGAACCGCTAAATTCATTTTTGACATTAGTTTTTGTACCAGAAGCTTTGTAAAAAAGTTATTCACGAAATTTCACATTTGTTCATTTTCATCCGATTTTCAAGGTTTTAATCTCAAAATGCTTCATTTTTTCCGATTATTCTGAGTAAACTAACCGCTTCTTGCACAAAAGCCGCTGGATAGAGCAAATTTGAAGAAATGATAATGCAACAAATCATCATTCCAATCATGCACACGTAGTAGTACGTTGGAACGCCTTCTCGGAGGCTGGAAATGTTTTTTTTTTTGTCATTTTTTCCCCAATTTTTAGTTAGAATCACTTACTTCGTAACTAAATACGTCACATTTGCCAATGCGGTGAATGTCAGAAAAGGGGCGGAGCTCATGAAGCCATCTGGAAAATTTTTTTTTGTTGAAAATTTTGGAATTTCATGAACTTACGAAGTCTTTCAGTGATTCTGTTAGTGATTTCAAACAGTTTGACCTGTCGATCCGCAAATTTTTGAAGGATTTGATGGTTCTGAAAAATGAAGAAATGCTCAAGAATGCCCAAAAATGCAAAATGATCATTTCTCCGACATAGGGCATGATTATGTGTATTTATTTTGAAGCTCTCATCACCCCAAATTTGGTTACTGTAGTTCAAAAATGTACTAGAATGATGCAGAATGCACAATGAGAATTGTAGTGCATTTTTAATCAAACGTTATACTTATTTGACATCTTAAATGCTCAAAATGCATTGAAAAGCACAAAAACGATCAATAATGCACCAGAATGCACCAAAATGCGCAATGATCATTCTCATGGATTTTCACTCACCACCAACTCCTTACTCTCCGACGCATTCTTCAATTCCTCATTGAAAACGTGGAATTCTCTGGCTAGCGCATTTTGCATGATTCCATGAACTGGCAAATAGATGAAATTCACATATGCACACAAAATCATGATTCCAGCATCCACATAATAGTACCACGAACTTTGGGAATCTCTGAAAACGCGGAAAAATGAGCGAAAATGAGCCAAAATAGGCGAAGATGCACAAAATGCAAAATGATCATTTGAATGAAACTATGACATTCTTATATTCATTTGAACCAGTTTTTGATTTTAAATCAATTCGTTTTGTTTTTAAAATGTGAAAATGAAAATGAAACAAATTATGATAAAAAATCATGAAAATGATTTTTGATCATTTTGGTCATTTTTGCTCATTTTCGATCGTTTCATCAAATTTTTTAAACCAAAATGCTCTAAAATCAGTTTACAATGATTTTTGGTCATTTTTATTCATGAAAATGCACAACTTACGATCCAAAAATGACCAATTTCTTGTAGACCAAAAATCCAGAGCATCCAATGAAAAATATTGGAATTGGCACTTTTAGCAGAAAAGTTTTCTTCCGTAAAGCCGAGTATTCGTCATATTTTTCATAATAGGGGTTGATCTGAAAATGTCGAAAAATCATGAAAAATGAGTCCAAAATTATGAAAAATGGTTCAAAAATCATGAAAAATGGACCAAAAATCATGAAAAATGGTTCAAAAATCATGAAAAATGAGTCCAAAATCATGAAAAATTAATCAAAATGACCCCCGAAACACAAAAATCATGAAAATACTCACCCGCATTTTTTTGAGCATTCCAATTCCCTGTTCAAATCTCTTCAATGTTCCTTTGGAGGTCATAAAGTATAATGCAATGACGCATGAAAATGATTCCATTGAAATGAATGCGTACAGATTGCGTTCAGACCATCCAAATGACAAAATCTGCAAAACGAAATTATGAAAATGATCAAAAATCATTTTTAATTTTTTTTTCTGATTTTTTCATTGGAAAACTCTTGAAATCTTATACTCCCACACTCATGGTTTTTGGGATTTTTGGTCCCCATGAACCATTTTTCATCTTTTTTTTTCCTAATTTTTCCACTGAAAATCCTCAAAAACTCATTTTTCAAGTCAAAAATGCATTACTTACCGGCGCATCAACCATATAAAACATCCACCACGCTCGAAAAATCATTGCCAAAAAACTGGCCAGTGAGAAGAATAGGAAGAAAATTCTGAGCGGTTTTTTTCCACAATTATATGGGGAAATTTTCCAAAAATATCGAAAAAATCCGAAAATGTTTGGGGTAGCAATTGGTGCATCCTCAGGAATAATGGTGGACATTTTTCAAAAATTTTCAAAAGAAATTTTTTTTTTCAAATTTTTATGTTAAAATGATTGGTAAATGATAAAAATTTAGACTTGATTTATACTTATAAACCCTGAAAATTCGCATTTTGACACCCCAAAAAAAGTGTACTAAATCAGAGTTTTGGTCAGAATTCTTTTTTTCCTTTTTCTTTTTTTCTCTAGCACTCTCCAACTTTTCTATACTCTCTCGTTTTTATTTGTATAAACGGAGTGATAGTGAAATGTGATAGGAGGTGAGTAATCGGACAGAAAATGGATCAGAGAATTTTTAGAAGAAATTTTTGATCCCTTGTATGAAAATTTTCAAATGACGTCAGAAATTCAGAAATTCAGAAATGCCGGAATTCAGAAATTCAGAAATTCAGAAATTCAGAAATTCAGAAATTCAGAAATTCGGAAATTCAGAAATTCAGAAATTCAGAAATTCAGAAATTCAGAAATTCGGGTATTCAGAAACTCAGAAATTCAGAAATTCGGAAATTCGGAATTTAGAAATTCAGAAATTCAGAAATTCAGAAATTCAGAAATTCAGAAATTCTGGAATTCAGAAATTCAGAAATTCAGAAATTCAGAAATTCAGAAATGCCGGAATTCCGGAATTCAGAAATGCCGGAATTCCGGAATTTAGAAATTCAGAAATTCAGAAATTCAGAAATTCAGAAATTCAGAAATTCAGAAATTCGGGAATTCAGAAATTCAGAAATTCAGAAATTCGGGAATTCAGAAACTCAGAAATTCAGAAATTCGGAAATTCCGGAATTTAGAAATTCAGAAATTCAGAAATTCAGAAATTCAGAAATTCAGAAATTCAGAAATTCGGGAATTCAGAAACTCAGAAATTCAGAAATTCGGAAATTCGGAAATTCAGAAAGTCAGAAATTCAGAAATTCCGGAATTCAGAAATTCAGAAATTCAGAAATTCGGGAATTCAGAAACTCAGAAATTCAGAAATTCGGAAATTCGGAAATTCAGAAAGTCAGAAATTCAGAAATTCCGGAATTCAGAAATTCAGAAATTCAGAAATTCAGAAATTCAGAAATTCGGGAATTCAGAAACTCAGAAATTCAGAAATTCGGAAATTCGGAAATTCAGAAAGTCAGAAATTCAGAAATTCCGGAATTCAGAAATTCAGAAATTCAGAAATTCGGAAATTCGGAAATTCAGAAATTCAAAAATTCAGAAATTCTAAAATTCAGAAATTCAGAAATGCCGGAATTCCGGAATTCAGAAATTCAGAAATTCCGGAATTCAGAAATTCAGAAATTCAGAAATGCCGGAATTCCGGAATTCAGAAATTCAGAAATTCCGGAATTCAGAAATTCAGAAATTCAGAAATTCTGGAATTCAGAAATTCAGAAATTCAGAAATTCAGAAATTCGGGAATTCGGAAATTCAAAAATTCAGATTCAAAGAATCTGAAATTCAGAAACTTTTTTGAAATTCAAAAATGCCAAAAAAATCATGATTTTTTTTCATTTTCATTCTGGTGCATTTCTTACAATTTTTTTGCTTGTTTTCTGGCATTTTCAGCTATTTTTTAGGTCATTTTTTCAGATTTTATTCCTGAACTAGATAATTCTGGTTCAAGTTGACAGTGACCTTTCTAAAATAAGAACCGCTCAATTGAAGGGTTCTACCTTTCTAAATACCGTAAAACCTCTAATAGAACGACACCCGGATCGTCCACTTTGAGCCTATATATCTCATTTTCTGTGAAAGATATCAAAAAGTGGCTAACTAGTAAAATGTTGCTGATATCCTGATAAACATTTTACTAGTTAACAACTTTTTGATATCTTTCAAAAGAAGTGAGATATATAGGCTCA